CCCATAGGGTTTCCTAAGCTATAATCTTTATGGGAGCAGATTACCAGTTCTTTCTCCTGTGGAGCTGTTGGGTGGGTTCTAACCACCAACCTTTTGGTTATCAGCTGAGCGCTTAACTGTTGCGCCACAAGGGCTCCTTCAGAAAGAGAAATTCCGTCCAAAGAAGAAAGTCACAAAAATGTCCCTTGGTGCATTTTGTTCCTTCAGAGTCGCCGTGAGTCAGGAGCTAACACAACCGCAGCTAACAATAACAAATAGTTTTAAAACTCTAATTTCTTGTTTTAATTTTATTGGGCAGAGTAGCACGCTCCTAGCTTTGGTTATTTCTGAAGGCGGTAAGAGAGGATGGTCTCAGATTCTTCCTATTCAAACTGTTCACCCTGGCCATGCGTCAGAGCAACTCAACAGCAGCAATAGATACGCCAGAACACTGTCCCTTTCTGTGAACCCTCCTCTCTCCCTCCCCTCCCCTCTCTTGTTCTCCAAGGTCTTTCTCTGCCTTCCACCTGCTGTTGGAGCCCCCGGGCATTTCTCAGTCCTGCCTGAGCACAGAGGATTTGAAAGATCTGCGTGATCCCTGCAATTGGCAAGCCACAACCTCCTGCCTAGAATTGCCTCCTTCTTAGGCCTCTCATAGAAGAGGGGGTTGGAGAGTCGAGGGAGAGATGATCATAGATGTCCTGAAATTGCTGGAGGGAGCAGATTGTTAGGAGAAGCTGTGAGGCAGAAACTAAGGGAAAAGCCAGCCCAGCTTGTTAGGGCTGAGTGCAAAGGAAAAGCACCTTATGCGGGAGCTCAGCCCTGCAAGAGAACGACTGCCTCTCGCCACAGCGGAGATGCTGGGGCACAGTGTGGGCGGCCGTTCATCCAGTATGATGTAGCCGGCTTCTGCTTCAGAAGGGAGGGTAGAAAGTCATTTCTCAGGTCTCTTCTTCCTGAGGAAACTCACCACACACGTATGCACACACACGCATACACGCAGATGCACACACATGCCTGCACACGCGTGCACACACGTACACACATACACACACGCACACACACGTATGCACACACATGCACACGCACACATTTTTATTTAAGAAAAGATATATAAATTAAAATATGCTGATCTTTTAAAATAGTTATTTTTAAAAATAAAAATGTGTGTGTCGGCATATGCACAATCATATATATAATTTAGATAACCAGCATATCAATAGGAACACTGGTTGTGCAATGGTTAGGCCCTCGGCTGCTAGCCAAAAGCTGGCGGTTCAAACCCACCCAGTGGCCCCTCAGGAGAAAGATATGGCAATCTGCTCCCATAAAGGTTACAGGCTAGAAAACCCTATGGGGCAGTTCCGCTCTGTCACGTGGAGTCGCTATGCGTCGGAATCAACTGGACAGCATCCAACAAAACAATAACAAGAATATCAATTCTACAAGTTCATTATTATTTCTTAGTGACATACATTTAAATAAATATGTTTTAATTAAAAAGTGGGTCAAATTAAAGGAAAAAGTTAATAATATCACATATTAAATATTTAGTGTTTTAAAAAGATAGGTATTTATATAAATTAAATATATGCTGATCTTTAAAAACACCTATCATTTAAAATAAAAATGTGTTAGTGTGTGTGGGCATGCATATATATAACTTATATAACTAGCATATCAAATCTACAAGTTCATAATTATTGCTTATGACATACATTTAAATAAATTTGTTTTAATTAAAAAGTGGGTCAAATTCCCTAGGCCAACTCTTCAGACAAAGATTAGACTGGACTATGGGCCATAAAATGATAGTTGTGAAGAGTGTGCTTTTTAGCTCAAGTAGATACATGAGACTAAATGGGCAGCTTCTGTCCGGAGGTGAGATGAGAAGGCAGAGAGGGGCAGGAGCTGGTTGAATGGACACAGGAAATCCGGGGTGGGAAGGAGGAGTGTGCTGTCACAATATAGGGAGAGCAACTAGGGTCACATAACGATGTGTGTGTAAATTTTTGTATGAGAGACTAACTTGAATCGTAAACTTTCACTTAAAGAACAATAAAATAAAACATACAGAGAAAATACTTAGAAGAAAATTTTTTTAAAAAGTCAGTCAATTTAAAGAAAAAAGTTAATAATAGTAGAGGTGGTACATGGATGTTACAAACTGTTTGAAAGATACAGTAGAATGAGTATGCTTTCAAGACCTACACGGCAATTTGTTCCATTTATGGGTGAAGCTGTAGATTTCAGGAGGCTAGAAATCGAACAAGAAGCTTAAAATAACTGGACAGTGTTGTAGAAGGTCAATATCACTGAATTTAATTGAGGCAGTTGTCTTGACCTACTCGGGGGGATCAAAGAATGTAGCATTTGATCAAAAGGTGACAATTTAAAATGGAAAGAGGGACAGAAAGAAATCATATAGAGTGATCAAAATGAATTGACAAACTAGTGAATTTTCAGACCAGTCCTAAATTCTGTAGTAACAAGTTTCTGTTTGATGCCCTGGCTAAACACAGTTATTTCTGAATTCGTGTCAATCCGCCATCCACCGATCCTATAACCAGGAGCTTTCCTCATTTCACCGGTATTTGAGCTCACCTATGAGAAGTGTCGGTAGCTTCAGAAATAAGCAAAGCTAGAAAACAGAGGTTCTCCCAATGAAAGCCACAACTCCTCCCTTATTCCTGAGTCCCCATTTTCAGTGCAAGCCGGCTGAGGATCAGGATTAGGCTGGCCCTTTGTCAGTCACCATTGGGGAAGCAAAAGTCCATCAACAACTTACGCGTGGGGGCAGTGGTGGCGGGTCAATGGTGGAATTCTCCCGGAGTTCAATGTCTGGCCAGTGCCCCTCATGTGCAGCTGCCACTCATCTGTCAGTGGAGACTTGCGTGTTACTAGGATGCTGAACAGATTTCAGTGGAGCTGCCAGACTAGGACAGACTAGGAAGAAAGGCCTGGAGATCTACTTCTGAAAGTCAGCCAATGAAAAGCCTGTGGATCATAGCAGTCCGATCTGCAGCCGATCGTGGGGATGGCACAGGACCAGGGCGTGTTGTGTTTCACTGTGCTTGGGGTTGCCACGGGCCGGGGGCCGACTCGATGGCAGCTAATAGCAACATGTAAGAGGCAAGCCACCCAGCATTTCATCAGCCTCCCCTTTTCTCCTCACAACAGTCCTGTAAAGGGGCAGTCTGATTACCTCCATTTTTTTTTCACTAGAGGTAACTTTTTTTCAGAAAGGAGATTAAATAATTTGTACAGAGCCTGGGGTTTGAGGCCACGTGATCTGCACAGAGAGTTCAGGGCTTATGTACTGAGCCAAGGGATAAAGTCCCCGCCTCCTCAAGCAAAACTGGAGAAATGCAGTGAAAGAAAGCAGAGGAGGGCTGAGAAGTGAGGATGATGGGGAGAGTAATCGGGTGCGCAGGCCACTGGGGAGTATCACCTACATGTGAAACGTGAAATCTAGGGGAGAGAGACAGAGATGGAGACAGGGAGGGAGAGAGACAGAGATGGAGACATGGAGAGAGAGACAGGGAGACAGAGAGAAAGGGAGACAGAGACAGAGAGAGGGAGACAGGAAGACAGAGAGAGACAGGGAGACAGAGAGAGACAGAGAGACAGGGAGACAGAGAGAGAAACAGGGAGACAGAGAGAGACAGGGAGACAGAGAGAGAAAGGGAGAGAGAGAGACAGGGAGACAGAGAGACAGGGAGACAGAGAGAGAGACAGGGA